CTAGTTACTAACAAATAGTAACTAGTTACAGTTACTAGTTACTTCATTCAAAAAGTAACTCAATTACTTTGTTGATTACTTACACCAAAAAGTAACTTTTTAGTTACTTTAAAAAAAAACATTCTTTAATGTTTCCATTAATGCCCTTTTATGCGTTATGGTCTATACAAACACAAAACTGACTTAAACAGAAAGTAATTTTTAAACACTATTTTATTTGAGTCAGACCAGCACAAACTGAATATATCACAAGGATTTCTGAGGTGACTCACTATGCTGACTCGCGATCTTCGCAGTAGACGCGCCAGAGAGAAATACACATTTCAAACGGATTACATAAGCAGAGAGCAGTCTGTAGTCTGTTTTCTTTCGTTTTGAATTGTTCTGTTTAAAAGTAGACATGTCTGTGAGGCAAGTAGGTTACCTTATACGCCGAATTTCGGTTTATTTATGAGACGAGCTCCAGTTCACGCGCCGGCGCCTCCATTTCGTGATTATCTATCGTCTGCTATATTTACTTCTTATTTATTAAATCCAGGCAATTGGTTGATGAAACATTGATTAAAATTAAGATACAATTAATACAAAACGAAATTCACTTTAAAGAAAGGTTTTGTGCTTTCTGTTTGATGTCTCTGCAAGTATTAAAGCATCTTTTAGTGCCGCTTTCAGAGCGCGTCGCGTCTGTAACGGAGAACTCTCACGTCCGTAACATTGTTTTTTCCTCATAAATGCTAACACTAAAAATAAAATAAAATGAATATTTTGTTCTGTGGAGACTGAGAGCCAACCCTTCTTCATTCGGTGGGTAGTAGTTTGCGCAGTGTAATTCACATAATTACTAAACAATATTTATTTTAGGCCTATAAAATTCAGCCCGTATAAATGTGCATTTTCTAAGCTTAGAAAATGGACAAAATTCATTTGATTCTAATCATAATGTAACATTATTGTGAAATTGATTTATTTATAGGCTATTTGCTATTAGTAAAGCCTATGTTTTTATCCAACCAGGCTATGTGTGGGCCTTATGTAAAATACGGGACAAATCGCGTACCTTATTGATTTGATACGGACGCGTCATTTTACTTGTAAATACGGGACAATTCCGTATTTTAAGGGACGGGGCAACCCTACCACCAACAATGCGTCGCTGCTGTAAACAGGTTAGGCTGTAGGCTACACTTCAGCCAAAATTAATTAATTTAAAAAAGTAACGGACAAACGCACCATATGGTAACGGTAACGGAGTTAATTTATTTAAAAAGTAATGCGTTACAGTATGAGTTACTGTCAAAAGTAAATGCGTTACAGTAACGCGTTATTGCCCAACACTGACTAAAACTGAAATAAACATATGTACACATAAAAAAAAAAAAACTAAGAAAAATTACAAAACAAATTTCCTATATATATATATAAAAAAAAAAACTACAATAGTGTCTAAATGATACTAAAATAACACTGTCCCATCCACAGGGGCAGAGTATGTTAACATGTGAGAGAAAAAAAAATCTTGAAAATGTTTGTGTAAATTGAAGAACCCTATCCCTAACCCTAACGGTATCTGTTAAGACAAAGAAGAAGCTAAAAGCAAGAACTATGGAACCAGAGCTGGACAATGACACCCACACAGCTCTTCCTTCCTTCCCAAGCCTGTGTCAGTAAAGCCGTCCCTCTGGTTCCCTCGCTCAGGTCTGGAGTCTGGGCCTGACCCTGTGTGAAAGTCTGCAGCCTACATTCCATCACTGAACCGCTGGCCACCCCGTGCTGGGAATCAGGCAGAGACGGGAGGAAGAGAGAGAGACAAACAAGCAGCGAGACAGAACCATGTCTCATGCTAAAGTCCTCTTCATTTATTTTTATCTGTCTCTCTGCCCTGCTATTCTCTGACCCAGATGAACACAAGTTGATGGAAATGCAAACTGGGGTAAGGATGAGCAAAAAAAAAAGAAAAAAAAAAGCATGGAACAAATTGAACACAAAATAAAATAGAGTAGAATAGCTGAACAAAGAGAGCAAAGGAAAGTAGAACAGAGCAAAATAAATAAATAAATAAACAGAGTACATGATAGACTTAATATTTTTGTTTGTACTTAACTTCTAAGTACATTGTTTACAGTGAAGTAATTGTATTACTCACTGTGTGTCCGTATAATGTATTTTTGTAAACTGCATTTCGTTCCACTGAATACGGCCAGAATGACAATAAACTCTAATCAAAATCTAAAACTTCAGAACAGAAAACAATAAACACAAATGAGACCAATACAGAATATATCTGAATAAACAGAACAGAATAGAACTGAGTAAAGAGAATAGAATAGAACAGAACATATGGAACATAGAATAGATTTCAATAGGACAGAGCTAAATATAACAGAGTAAACGGAATAGAACACATACAATAGATTAGAACAGAATAGAATGGAATAGAACAGAACAGAGTAAACAGAATAGAAAACACAATAGATTAGAATGGATTAGAACACAGAATTGTGTGCAAAAGAACAGAGTAAACAGAATAGAACACATACAATAGATTATAAAAGAACAGAATACATAATAGAGCGGAATGAAACAGAGTAAACAGAATAGAACACGCAATAGAGTTGAATGGAACACAGTAAACAGAATAGAACAGTATTCCACTCTATTTTGTGTTCTGTTTTGTTCTAATCTATTGTACGTGTTCCATTCTGTTTACTCTGTTCCATTCCGCTCTATTCTGTTTTCTATTCTGTTCTAATCTATTGTATGTGTTCTATTCTGTTTACTGTGTTCTGTTCCATTCTGTTATGAGTAAACAGAATAGAAAACATAAAATAGATTAGAACAGAATAGAAACAGAACAGAGCCAAATAGAACAGAGAAAAAAAAACATACAATAGATTAGAATAAAAGAGAACACAGAATAGAGTGGAACAGTATCGTGTAAATGGAACAGAACACATACAATAGATTGGAACAGAATAAAAACAATAGTGTGGAACAGCAGAATAAACAAAACAGAACACAATTAGAATAGAATAAAAATAATAGAAAAGAAGAAAACAGAATAAGAATGGAATAAAAATGGAATTGTGCAGAGGGAATAGAACAGAGGAGAATAAAACTGAGCAACCAAAATAGAACTCAAAAGGACACAATAAATTGATCAAAAGTGACAGTAAAGACATTTAAAACATTACAAAAGATTTCATTTCAAATGCTGTTCTTTTGAACTTTCTATGATAAAATGTATCACGATTTCCAAAAAAAGATTAAGCAGCACAACTGTTTTCAACATTGATAATAATAATAAATGCGCATTGAGCTTCAAGTCAGCATATTAATATGATTTTCGGTAGGATCAATAAAAGAACCCTTTTCTTAAGACAGGAGTAATGATGCTGAAAATCCAGCTTTGACTTTTCTCTTGGAAACTAGATTTACAAGTGATTCGGTCTGTCTGAAGCCACACACACACACACACACACACACACACACACAAGCAGGTTTCATACACTCAGTCAGTCGCACTCACACAGACTCAATACTGGCGCACATCTCATTCCATTGTTCAGCAATGAAGAACTAACCTTTCAGCAACACATGTGTGCACTTTATATGGCGCATCAATCTCAGATTAATAACATTTCCCAAAGAAACAATCCTTACAAAAGTCTTTTCCAAACACACATACTTGTGACATTACCTGAGCATCACCAATCTCAAATCTACAATTAATCTAAATGACAGTAATGCAAAGCTTCACCTGAGTGATTTGGCTCCTCAACATCAGGAATGTTTCATTCAAATTATGAGCAGGCCAGCCAAAAATCAACTGAAATGGGATTTTTGTCTGCCAGGCATAAATCATACAGTAAAGCCATATATATCCTCAACATGCTTTATGATTTGAGGAATTATTCATGTCCGTAGCACAAATGGTACAGAATAAGTTGTGCACCAAAGTTTAATAGTCAGTGTTAAGGGTTGGTGTAAATTCCTAACCCTAATTATAGGCAATAATCAGGTGGATGTGTGGAGAGCACGGCATCATGAGAGCAAGAGGCAGTCAAATACAGTCAAACAGCCTGATTATATTAGTACTGCAACCTTCATGGAGGAGAGAAGGAGAATGAAGAAAAGAGAGGCGCTGAAAATATGAGAACAGACACAGACGGTAAAAGAGCCCCCTCCAGACTTCACAACATCTTCATAAATGTGGAGTTAATCAAAATATTGTTCAAAGATCTGGCAGAGGAGGAGAAGAATGCTGAATCAGCAACACCAGGGGTTACAGAACTGTAAATGTGTTTGGTGGTGTTGACAGCACAAAGCAAGAGTATCGGCTAACGCAAGAAAGGATAGAGAAAACTAGCAGACACTAGATGTGTATGCACACACACACAACCAATATAAACTGATCCTCATTCAATACATTTCAATGCTTTTTTCAAGACACACTGAAGATTGTCTGAAAACAACTTCAGAAAGTGAGAAAGTGCAGTTTGATCTGTTTTGAGAGTGTGGAAAAAGTCAGATCGGTATGAAATCAAGCGAGAATACCACAAATTAGATTTCCAAAAGTACTGGGAATCCAACAGGATGGTCTAAAACTGTCTTCGGTCAACACTGGATTGCATTGCAGTAAAAGTTAAAATATTGATTTAGTCTATTGAAAGTGTCAGGCCAAAACGCCTGAAGCAACCTCGGGAGGAACCAAGGAGAGCCGCTCTCCTCTTGTCAACCTGGAGGAACTGGTACTTAAACCACAAAAGTAGGATTGTTCTTCACTTGTTGTAGTGAACAAACATGCAGATGGTCATTTGCACACACACACACACACACACACACACACACACACACACACACACACACACACACACACACACACACACACACACACACACACACACACACACACACACACACACACACACACACACACACACACACACACACACACACACACACACACACACACACACACACACACACACACACACACACACCTCTGTTATGATGAAGAAATCATCTCCCGGTTCTCCCTGCACTACGATCTTCTCTCCATCGTCAGACTGCACAGGCTCCAGGGCATCGGCCACAGTCAACCTCTCCCACTTATCAAGGGATTCTGCAAGACAAAAAAAGTTTGATGTTAATCTGGATCTAAATGGACCTGAACAACTTCACTTCAAGTTCAACCCTTGAACTTTAATGTTATTAGGGGTTGTGAATCTTTGGGTGGACAGTGAATTGATTCAAATTACGATTTATAGGATTTCAATTTGATTCAGGAAAGATTTTTGCTAATTCAAAACAATTCGATCTGATTCAGAATGAGATTTGTTTTGGATTAAAGATTCGACTGTATTTTTTTAAGTTTATTCATAGGATGATGTAAATGCGTCTTGGGTTAAAAAAAAAAAAAAAAAAAAAAAGACAAACTACTTAAAGTCCCCCTGTAGTCAAACATTTTATTTTAAAAATTTTTATCCTTGATAAAAATTATTTCATGCCTTAAAATAGCTTGAATGTAACTCTACACCCTTGCCTCATTTAGTATACGCAGTTCTATGAATATGCAAATTAGCCCCGCCTCCACTCACTCGCACCAGCTCAGAGATCCACTCGTTGACGATCACACGTTGACCTGATTGGTTACAAGATCGTTTATGACGTCAGAAACACCAGTTTTTGAGACTGTCTTTGGTTCACTGCAGTTTTAAGGAGAAAATACTCAGCAATGGTGTTGACTTATGAATTTACACATGGTTTGTCTTAAAGCATATTAAAAACACCACATAGACATATAAACGATATTAAAACCTTGATTTTCAACACAGGGGGACTTTGAGATTGTTCATTGCACCAAGCAACTTGAACGTAAACTCATTAAATACATGTACATACGTACAGGCTACTTGGAACATAACGAGTGCAATGTGCCAATAAAATATTTTAGAGCTGAGCGTAGAGTTTTCTTTGTGTGGAAAAAACAATTTTAAAATTCCCTATTATTTCCAGTCACTAAACAAAACCAAATATCAAAATATTACCTGATACATTCAGTTTCCTCAAGGTCTCATATGCAAATAAAGACTCCTTAAATGTTTTCATCTCACCCAAATAAACAATTATACCCATAAAATGGCAGCATTTTATCTAATAGAAAACAACGGTGAGTTTTTCATGCAATAAAATAGTTTTATTCCAGTAGTTGTGTACATGCAATAAGTTGGCAGCTTTATCAATGGTTTGTGTGCATTCGAGGGCATGAATGATGCCACGGTACACCTAAATTAATACACACACGTAAGTAATTTAATGTTTATATATTTAAAAATATTGAATGACACTATTTTTAGCATTTAAACCTATTCTTAACCGAAACAATCAATTGACGTTTCAATCCGTTTAAAGATTGATATACATATGCATAGGCAGTATCTGTAATCGTTACACCCCTAGATGTTATAAATCTGAATAAATGATACTACGATAACGTCATGGCGCAACAAAGCGCCAATGCTTTGAAACGCAAGGCAGAGAAGTTAAAGTTCAATTTCCATCCATCCAAAACTAACAAGCAGCCTAGACTGATATTTTTAGAGACAATTTTGAGAAAGCCGTGCTATTTTTTGTGTGCGATGGGCATCCGGTGGTCCGTGAGTGACCCGTGGGTGTGTCATCAGAGGCTCAGACTAATGCTTTTATAAATAAACTGACTAATCAGAAAGACACCGAGGCTTATCACGAACTTCCTGCAGAATGCGAAGACTGGATCTTGACCTAGAAGAGCTTCTGTTGCACGTGGACTATTGAAGCCGTGGCCGTGAGAAAAGACACCGCCAAAGCCATCATTCAATACCCACCACATTCCAGAAACACTTCCCACCTTCCAGCATCCATCACACGGGCGTACCACACACGAACACGACCACACTAAAACCCTCCGGACTTCAGCCGCGCTGATCCATCCTCCAGCTGCGAATAATAACCAACGCCTCTGCCCTTTGCTGTTCGCTCACTCTGTCATTCTTCATTTCCCATTATCCCATCAGAATGCATTTCCCATCATCCCAATGCTGGACAGTAGCAGACGATCATTCTCAGATTAGACCGTCATTATAGTGTTAACATTTAAATAGTTAAAAGGAGACGACGTGTGTGTGGCTTAGGTGTGTGTTTGTGTGTTGGGGCCAGCCTGTCTGCATGCCCCAGACTAATGGTCACTTTATCAGGCTGGCTAAGACATCCTCACGCCCGGGCAGACGTCCACCTGCTTCAGTCGTAACATGAGCCGTCGGTGAGGGAAAAATCAACACCGCATGCTTCAACTAAGAAAAAACTGTGTGTCTGTATTAGCACCTTACTCTTTGAGGATATTGTAACATAGCATAGAAAATTCATAACTAAGTCTTTCCGATAAGCACTAAAAAAATGTAGGCTTTGGGTGATATTCAATATTAATAATTTGAAGGGATTTTTTTTAAATTAGAGGAACCATACATTAAAAATCCTTTTCAAATGAATAATCAAGGTATGGTTTCCACACGATTATCTTTGTTTTAATAAAGACAAAGGTTTTTATTTTATATATATATATATATATATATATATATATATATATATATATATATATATATATATATATATATATATATATATATATATATATATATATATATATATATATATATATATATATATTAGGGCTGTGCAAAGATTAATTGTGATTAATCGCATCCAAAATAAAAGTTTGTGTTTACATAATATGTGTGTGTGCTGTGTATAATTATTTTGTATATATAAATACATATGCACGCATGTATATATTTAAGAATTATTTGCACGTAAATAGTGTATATAAATACATAATCTATATTATATATAAATATAAATATTTTATATATGAATAACAGATTTTCTTAAATATATACATGCATGTGTGTGTATTTATATATACAAAATAATTATACACAGCACACACAAATATATTATGTAAACACAAACTTTTATTTTGGATGCGATTAATCGCAATTAATCTTTGCACAGCCCTAATATATATATGTATGTGTGTGTGTGTGTCTGTGTGAATATATTTAATTTAAAAGCACTTATCTTATTATTGCATATTATTTTTAATTAGGACAAGACAGCATATTTAAAAAAAAAAAAAAAAATTAAATCGAATTTAATATTATATATTTTTTTCTTTTAATATTATAAATATTATATTATTCATTTTTAAATGTTTATTTATATGCATTAATATGACAATAAACAGCAATATTTGCATACATACATTTTTACAAAAACATTTAATTTATGAAAATGTCACATTGGGACTTCCGTGAGCAATTGTGAAAGAAGCAAACGCAAAAAAAAAATATATATAAAATTGTTACATTTAAAAGCACCATATTGTTGCATATTATTTTTAATTAGGGAAAGACAGAATATTTGTAAATTCTTTATATAATATTTAATATTAAATATATTTATATAAAATATTTCATTTTTAAATGCATTTATTTATTTGCATCAATATGACAATAAACAGCAATATCTGCATACATATATTTTTTACTAAAACATTTAATATATGAAAATGTCACGATGGGACTTACGTGAACAATCTTGAGTGACGACACAAAAGAAAATTGATACATGTGTTATTTGAATCGATTTATCAAAACGGACACCATGACTGATTCATGGAATCGAATCAAACTTCCCAACTCCTAAAAGACGCAGTTACTTTTACTGTTCCACGAATTATCATGGGTGAAATACATTTATTTCAATAGGAATCCACGCAATTAGAAATTTTGTGTTGATGGCAAAAGATTTCCCCACACAGATTTTGCATCGCGGGTATAAGTTGGTCACGTGACTCACTGTGTTGACTCACTGTGTTGAAAGCTGCTTGGTTTGAAAGTAAGGTGTTCTTCATACACTATTGACAATAGACAATTTCTGATAATAGACCTTATTTCACTGAAGTGGACGCACTTTAACTGCCTTTTTGCAATGGATGTTTAATTCAGATAAGTTAATAAACCCTCTCTATATTAACACTCTCATACTCACGGATCACAATTCTTAATTGTTAAATAAATAGAAAAAAAAACGAATTATAATCAATTGAATAGATACTTCATAGTTCAGTATCTCCAATCCCTGAATCTGAATGGCTGTTAGCACATTATAGGTGACTGCTTACTAGTCAAAGTCAAAAGTACATCACAAAGTTTCTATGATATTCTGATCACGTAACGTGGCGTAACGAGAGAATGTTAAAATATGACTCTTGTTTTTTGAGGCAGTTTTTTTGCGCAAGACCTCACAAGTGTCAAGACCTCACAAACCATGGCAAAACGTGCCAAGACTTCACAAAACAGTACCGATTTCACCGCAATCTCAAAAGAATCTTACGCAAACAAAAACATGCCCCCCTCAAAGGCGAGAAGACGAGCGAAGAAAAGAGGTTTGAGAGCTGGGTGTTTGAAGACAGGCCGTGACAGGGCTGTGAAACGGAGAACACAGAGAGAAAGAAAAATAGAGGAAACCGAGAGGAGGAGTGTGTTTGTTCAGCCATTTAATAACCCCATTTAGAGCGACGAGTGACCTCAGGGTGCTGAGGGACGAGGGGTCACCGCAGAACTGACCATCTTAATGTTCCTCTTTCTCGCTCCTCTTTGTCTCTCTCTCACCAAACAAAACCGCTGGAATGCAAGTCCGGGTAGAATGTGGCAGTGGTGTCTGTCAGTCAAAGCTACACTCTTAGAAATTCTGCATGGAACCGTCAGCTTCTAAAGAACCACTTTCGGACACATAGAGTTGCTATTTGGTTCTTTGGAGATTAAGAAAAAGCTCTTGAGTTCATTTACAAGTTCTTCAGATCAGTGTTGTTAAATTTAAAACACCAGCACATGATGGTTTTCTAACAAACCAGAGATGAATTCTCTGTGGGGTTATAATTTATTTTAAGGTGACGTAGTTAAATTGTAATTTACTCTAATAAGTACTGAGTAATATTAATAACTACATGTACTTACTATAGAGTTAAGGTTAGCGTTTGGTTTAGGGTTAGTTACTTGTAATTATACATAATTTACTGTTATTACTATAGTAAGCACATGTAGTAAAGTTCTTAGATCCATCAAAAATTGATTGAGTTGTTCACATGGACACGTCATTTTACAAATGAGACCTTATTGTAAAGTTGTTACTGAAAACTTTGCAAAAAACCAACATTACACTAATTTACTCTGCATTTATTCCAATATTTTATGTAAGAATACCGGTAGTCTCATGGATGATTTACAAAATCCTGTTTTTCTCATGTTTAATAAACAAGGTGTTCGTTTTAATCATTACAAAGTTCTCATTACTGTACTTACCAAGTATAGACACCTTACTAAGGAACTCTTCATACATCTTCCTCTTCCTCAACGTGCTTCCCTAAAAAAAACATTGAGGCAGCAGTTAGAAGACACATTGAGGACTTCAGGTAACAGAATCTCCTGCCCTCTAATCAGTCTCTACAGAACAAGAATAAGAAACACAGCGCTGAGAACAAAGCCGGGGGACTTTCCTCAAACACGCTGCTGAAGAAGAACTATAAACATACAGATTAAAGCAAAGTTTTGGCTTCCTTCTCTTTTGTTCCTAGTGTTGTCTTTTTCAGCTCCGTCTCTCTCTCTAATACTCAGATGAAACACACAGAAACACATTAAGTGGAGACAGTCCCGTAGTTAAGAAAAATCACGAATGATCTTCTTTTTTGTCTCTATTGTTTCTCCTAGACAGGAATGAGATTAAATGGAGGAGAAATGGAGACTGTGGTCTCTGCGTTCTCAGATTTGTCTTAAGTGTCTCCTCCAAACTCAATTTTATAGGGCTTTACTCTTGCTGCATGTCAACCATTGCGTCATTTGTTTTCATTTAGTTTTAGTCAAAATTTTGCTCTAAGACAGAGTGTTAAACTTCATTAACTAAACCACCTTCATATTTGAGACAACGAAATGTAAATGCAAACTTCCAGCCACTGGCTGACCGTGAAGATCTTCTCTCTTACGAGGTCAGTGACCTCTCCACCCCTGGTGTTTGAGAAGAAGATACAAAAACATCAGAAGAACATCTAAGATGGCCTGCAGACACTAAAGTGAGGCATGACAACGTGATCTACAGCGTTCCGGCAAGTGTTGGTCAAGCTTAATGGATTAGTTCACCCACATTTCCCAAATAAACAGTATATATTTTCTAAAGACAGACTCTGTGTAGCTTGAATAAGTGTCTGTGGAGATCCTTTTACTAGAGCAAACAAGAAATATTATGCATTCAAAAAAAGTGAACTAAAGCACTTCTGCTAGAGAAACTTGAGGCGCATTCTAGACTAGTAGTGCATATTTGTGTAATTGTAAATATCTACTTAAATAACTGACCAAAATACAGCGTTTAGCTTGCAAGTGAGTCTGGGCAATATATTTAATAATTTTCTATTATATTTTGGTATTATTTAATTTGAGGATTAGGGATGAAAAAAAATTAAAAGTAAGATAATAATAATATTACATAATAAAAATAAAGTATTAATACATATTTTCAAACATAATTTCAATCAAAAAACCTTTACAATTATTTAATTGGAGAATGAAAAATTTATTCATAATAATAACAATAATAACATACTAAAATATGTATAAATATTATATTATATATAATACTAAAAGATATATAATAAATTATTAATTAAATAATTAAAATAATAAAATATACACATACATATAATTAAGAAAAATGTAATATATATATATATAGGGATGAAGAAAAATGGAATATATATATGTATATATATACATATATATATTCCATTTTTCTTCATTTCAATCAAAAAGACTTTTAAAATCTATATTGAAAATGTTACAGGCAAGAAATACAACACTCAATCATATAATCTAGTAAAATATCTAAATCATTATTAATTTTTTCTTTGATAGGTCAAAAAGCTATTTCAGATCGAATATTAAGATTTCCATCAAGTATCATCAAAAGGCAGAAAATTATCTATATATATTATATATGTTTTTATATAGTCCCCAGGTACCATCTAAGAAAAGGAGGATTACAAATAAGAGTTTTTTTTTTCTAAAAAAAATAAAAAAAAATTTAATCAAATTGACATTTTCTAAAACCAACATGAGTGTAGGTCATTTCACAGGTTCTCTCACACACATTATCAAACACACCGTGAAATATGACGTTTTATAAACAGTTTTATGAATTACTGACTTATCTCTAATTGACTGCAGCCACACACACACACACTCACAAATCTTTTACTGGTTTAATTAAGAGCAGCTCAGCATAGCTGAAATCTGACAGTCTGTCTCTCTTCTCACAGAACTCAGTGTGTGTGTGTTGTTAAGAGTAAGTGCGTGTTTGCATAAGAAAGCGAGGAAGACACTAAAGAGAAAGAAAAACGAAACGATGGCCTGACAGAAAAATCTAAATTGGTCCCTTGACAGGCTCTGTGTGGAGAACAGTTTCCACGGAGGCTTGCGGGGCATTAGAAATATTCATTTATTCATTCCCACAACACACACACACAAATACACACACTCTACAAACACAAACACTGCTACAGATGGAGCACTTGATGCAGATTACGCTGTTGAGCGAGACAGTAAGTATTTAGTTAAAGAATACCAAAGGGTGGAAAGTTTGGTTTAGTTTTGAGAACGCCAACAGCACAATGGTCAAGAGTTTCAATCTGGAAAGTCATGGCATCCAAGAGGAAGGGTTCATCATTTAAAGGGATAGTTCTAGGGCTGCAACAACTAATCAATAAAATTGATAATAATCGATTATGAAAATCGTTGTCAACGAATGTCATTATCGATTAGTTGGTCTGCTTACGTCACGGGGAGCGTTTAGTGGTGATTGGTTGAAACAGGCCAATCATGACCTGTCTTACATTTTAAATAAAAATTAAATGAATTATATATTTTAGATGTTTTTAGTTTATATCTTCACATTTGAACAACATGTTTGTGTAAATTTGTTTTAACAAAAAATTGTGGTAAAACATAATATGTTGGATATCATTTTTTTTTTTTTTACATTAATCATGGTTGTCAACTTGCCATCAGCAATTATCATTAAAAACAATGCAAATATTGATATTAGTAAAACTCAATGTGTGGCTTTTGCACTTTTTAAAGTACAATTTTACACATAAATACCCTGATTTAGGGTTTTATTTAGTTATAAATAAAAAAAAATCAAATAGAATTTTTTATCCGATTAATCGAAAAAATAATCGTCCGATTAATCGATTATCAAAATAATCGTTAGTTGCAGCCCTAGATAGTTCAGCCTAAAATGAAAATTCGGACACTACTGACCCTTATGTCACTATATGTGTGTGAGTGTGTTTCTACCATAAGGATGCGTCGGTAGCTGTCTCGGTCTATGCCCCACAGTTTCAGGTCAGTCTTGGCTTTCACAGTAGCAGCCCGAGGAGTTCCATATATCAGAGCCAACTCTCCAAAACTACCACCCTCTCCGATACTGGTCACCCATTCACCGTTTACATACACCTGCGAACAGAAAGAGAAAGATCATTACATACACTCACCGGCCACTTTATTAGGTACACCTGTCCAACTGCTCGTTAACACTTAATTTCTAAGCAGCCAATCACATGGCGGCAACTCAGTGCATTTAGGCATGTAGACATGGTCAAGACAATCTCCTGCAGTTCAAACCGAGCATCAGTATGGGGAAGAAAGTTGATTTGAGTGACTTTGAACGTGGCATGATTGTTGGTGCCAGAAGGGCTGGTCTGAGTATTTCAGAAACTGCTAATCTACTGGGATTTTCACGCACAACCATCTCTAGGGTTTACAGAGAATGGTCCGAAAAAGAAAAAACATCCAGTGAGCGGCAGTTCTGTGGGCGGAAATGCCTTGTTGATGCCAGAGGTCAGAGGAGAATGGCCAGACTGGTTCGAGCTGATAGAACGGCAACAGTGACTGAAATAACCACTCGTTACAACCGAGGTATGCAGCAAAACATTTGTGAAGCCACAACACGCACAACCTTGAGGCGGATGGGCTACAACAGCAGAAGACTCCACCGGGTACCACTCATCTCCACTACAAATAGGAAAAAGAGGCTACAATTTGCAAGAGCTCACCAAAATTGAACAGTTGAAGACTGGAAAAATGTTGCCTGGTCTGATGAGTCTCGATTTCTGTTGAGACATTCAGATGTTAGAGTCAGAATTTGGCGTAAACAGAATGAGAACATGGAACCATCATGCCTTGTTACCACTGTGCAGGCTGGTGGTGGTGGTGTAATGGTGTGGGGGATGTTTTCCTGGCACACTTTAGGCCCCTTAGTGCCAATTGGGCATCGTTTAAATGCCACGGCCTACCTGAGCATTGTTTCTGACCATGTCCATCCCTTTATGGCCACCATGTACCCATCCTCTGATGGCTACTTCCAACATGTCACAAAGCTCTAATCATTTCAAATTGGTTTCTTGAACATGACAATGAGTTCACTGTACTACAATGGCCTCCACAGTCACCAGATCTCAACCCAGTAGAGCATCTTTGGGATGTGGTGGAACGGGAGATTCGCATCATGGATGTGCAGCCGACAAATCTGCGGCAACTGTGTGATGCCATCATGTCAATATGGACCAAACTCCCTGAGGAATGCTTCCAGCACCTTGTTGAATCTATGCCACGAAGAATTGAGGCAGTTCTGAAGGCAAAAGGGGGTCCAACCCGTTACTAGCATGGGGTACCTAATAAAGTGGCCGGTGAGTGTATTTCTGCTTATCATACACATGAATATGAATAACTTGTATGGTTAATTGAAGACAACAGCATGAACTTCCATAGTAGATTAGAACATTCAGGGCCATTTTAAGGAGTATTATGATTGTCGTGAAAGTTACGTTTTCTCCAAGTTCCCCAAAATTGTCATTACTTCAAAATGTAAAACAAAAACTAATTTGCATTATAATGTAATGTAATATAATATAATAACTAATGTAATGCAATGTAGAGGTCTGCATGGGATGGAGTTTTCAATCCTGCTCCAACTTGCTTCAAAATATGTTAGATTATATGTTAGAAAAAACATAGAATATGTTAGAATTTTTTTATATCTCTGTATCATTTACTTCTTATCTGTGAAATTCACCTATTGCACTTTGATTAAGATGATACAGACAAACACTTGTCTTAGAATATGCATTGATGACCTATACACAAAAAGGGACATTTAAACAGAAAGTAAAAAGGAACTATTTCAATTTCATGTTATCTGAAAGGACTGACTGAACTCTCGTTTCATACTAATGCTAGTCAAGGGCATTCACAGTGAAGCAGGTGATCTGATAACACACAGCTCGCACCTTCTATCTTCCCAACCTTGGATCCTCTAGGGTGTCTTATGAGGAATTAGATAACACCTTGAGACTCTTTCCCCTGTTTTGTCTTTCATTTTGGCATAACCGTAAGATGCTACCGAAGGAAATATCTCACTGAATCTGTGTGTCAGCGTGTGGTTTTCAACAGCCACACGCATAGACAAGCACAAAGAGCCTCTTTCTCATTTTCCACAGAGACTCATTGGGTTTCACCTGTAGACACACAATCCACTTGTTGATTTTATGAGGGGAGATAATAAAAAAAACGTTAACACACGGGGCAGAAATAAACGCTGGTCCTGCTCGGGCCAGGCGTTCTGCCAGCCATCTAAGACACATTCCACAGGTATCTCTGCTCTCCAGACCGGCCACTCGAGCAGGTTTGGGTCAAAGCCTCCTCCGAGATGGCCAACATGTCACTTAAGGTGAGAACTTCTTTGCAATAAGTCTCCAATTCACTCATTTTATTGGAACAACAGACAAAAATAATGGCAAATATTTAGGGCTGCCTCCAACCAGACTTTTCTAGTAGTTAAGCCAATAGTTGACTAGTCGCAAGTTTATGATATTAATTTAATTATTTAAATATAGACTGGGGGTGGGGGCTTTAAAATATAAATTAAGTGCTCAAGCGCATGCATAAAGCTTGCGCAGCATACTGGCAAAAGTTATGATTATGATTGGGTTGGAATAACAGAAAGGAGACTGTTTGAACATTTGAATAATTTGTTACTATACTAGTGTTTTTCGAGTCAGTATCGGCTGCAAAGATGAAGTTGACGACGCTGACTCGTCATCTCCACAGTATAGGGAGAAATGCATGTTACGTTAAACATCATGCAGTAAGCGCTGTAGTAATTTAGCTTCCACACTCCACATGAACATTTGGATATGTGGCTAATAATAGCTCATTTATCCATGTTAACCTTAAAGCGAGTGGCCATGTAAAGTGCCTCACATTAGGCTACTACTCGCATGTTTCAAATGATCATTTATGTTTGAGGTCGATAATTCATTTGGATTTCTTGCTCGACATAATTACCACATGGAACAGCCATGTTAACCATCTGTCCGTCACGGACTGCATGACTCCACGGACTGCCGATTCCTGAGGATTTTGTTTTTCTGCAAATTTGATTGACACTGCATGCTGACTCGATTAGTATGCAGTACTAAGCGCTCCAAAGTCACAGGAGATTTATCCTTTCGGCTAATGAGAGACATCTCATCGCATTCGAGACGTATCTTGACATTCCAGCACATTTGCGTATATGCCTGGGAGGTTCACGGAGCTGAACGTGCTCATGAGAAGACTGGTTAATGTCTGTAAACATGTATTTTGTATGTGTTTGACAGCACTAGTGTGGCGTACGGTGGATTAAGCGAGCGTGGCTCTGTGCTCGAGCTCTCTGCGCTCTGGCTCTGACCCAAGAGCTCGATACGACACAATCTGATGTGGCAGGGACCCAGTGCTGACACAACGTGCCCTCGAAGCTCATCCAGAGCAGAGGAGAAATTTTAGCACTGATATTTCACACTAAGCATGTACACAAGGAGAAGAGTCTCGAGACAAACAAGACCGGTATAATAACATGAAGAATATTAAGATAAAGTGTTCAGATTCAGTCTGTGTAGGAAAAACAGCTTGACCATTCAAAATGGGCCAATTAGAAACTGTCAATGTTAAGTCACAACCATATGACTTCCCACTTTTATCAGGGTCAGTAAGATTTTCTTTCCTCAAAGAAATTAATACTTTTATCCAGCAAGGTTGCATTAAATTGATCAAAAGTGACAGTAAATACATTATAAAGACATTTATATAGAAAGTAAATTCCATTTCAGTGAGCATAAAAATACTTCTTTCGCAAAAAGGGATCGTTTCTATTCATATTCATTCACGTTTACTATTCACTATTCTGCAACTTGGCATGGTGGCAGTTGTTAGTCTGTTCACATGTAAAGAGATAATTTAGCAAAAACAGTCATTCTAAGAGTCATAGAGAGCGTGGAAAATGCTCATAAAAACTAATCTATGACTTCATGAAGCCAAAACTGACATTATAAATGGACTCTAGGGAAAAAATAAAATGCTAGAAAAGTGTGTAAAAGGCCCCTTTTAAATAAACAATCATATTTACTGATAAACCAAGAATGGGGGAAGGAAAATACTACAGATTCTCAGGGTGATAAAAGCACATTCTAAATAAATCATATGCAAAGAAAATCTACTTTAAAGCTTCTTTAAAACAAAACAGGGAAATGGATTCTCTGTGGAGATAATGACACACCACTTCGCTTGAATTTTATCCATGCCATCTTTGGGAAGGCAAAACAATGGCAGTCAGTGTTCCAGTTTTCTGTAGTGTTAAAAGAGGCCAGTGGGTAAGAATTATTATTATTATTTTTTTATCATATAGAACTACTATAATATGTAGGTCTATATGATAAGATGTTTCAGAAATGTTCATATCCTAATTGTGTGAACGTCACGGGGTTACATTCCCAGGTTACATTTCAACGCAAAGTCAATAGGGGAAAAAAACACAAATTTAAATCTTGCACATTAGAGTAAATTGGCACATTTAAGCACATTACCATCTTAAACTTTCATTACTGTATTGATTTTTATTTTAGATTGAATTTTTTATTTAAGAAATTAGCATACAATACAAAAATACCAATATGTATAAATATATAATTTAAAAATAATAAGAAGAATGAGAATTTATTTTACACTAATAAGAATATGGGGGGCTTAATTGTCATTAAAATAGATATTTTCTCTATGCAACAATTTATTTACTTATTTTTATTTTGTGGTGATGGATAATATTTCAGAAGATTCACCGGCCCATTACATTTTATACTGATAAATATATTGCAGATGTAGATGAATTGATCCCAAAGTATCTGCTCACTGCTGTGGCGGGCCTTAAAGTGTCCCTATTATGATATTTTAAAGGTTCCTAATTTTCTGTTGGAGGTCTCCTATAATATGTCTACATGGATCCAACGTCAAAAAACACTTTAATCTTCACATAATATACATTCCAGCATAACCTCTTTTCTCACAGTGTCTGAAATGGTTCGATAAATGATTGACCCCTAACCCCCTCCTTTCCGAGAGTCTACTCTGTTCTGATTGGTCAGATGGCCCAGTCTGTTGTGATTGGTCCACTGCTTACAGCACGTGTCTGAAACCAAAACGCCCATTAGCATATATGAATTTCAGCTCTGGATCTTCCTCAGCACTTGATATACAGTGATACGTAAAAGTAACGATGGCGTCGGTTTTACCGTATCAATACACGCCCAGGTTCTCATCCTTTGGAAGTGCATCAAAGTGGATTTACTTTCGCAGCACAGAAAACAGCGTCTTCTCGACATGTCGACAACAAGAACCAAACTCTTCTAGGTCTCAGCTACAACTACAGAGTTGTACAGGGTCACTGTACAGGGTCTTTGACTACAGGGTCAAAGTAGACGTTGTTCGCAAGGCAGCCAATATACAGCCAATAGGTGGGCATTTTGCAGATTTGTTACAACCCTACATAGGCTCGAACAGGAAGTGAGACTGGAATTACTGACAACTCGTTTCAGGCAGAATCTGTTCTTTCTTTTGGGAAACAATAACTACATTTATCATGCACTTTGATCTTTAACCCTTTCACACGTAAGTTTAAAATATTCTAACTGATCCCCCAGCGTGAGTTTTTCTAGGCGACCGTTATTTAGAACCTGTCACTTTAATGTTTCCATGGTGACGCGTCATTGCTTGTCATGTGACACAGCGCAACCACAACACAGCGCCAGCCAACGCGCGAAAGCACGTTTGAATTTAGCAGTTGATCACGTGATGCACTGACCGTTCTAATCACACCGGTGTGATCGTATGTTCGAAAGGGTTAAAACTTTGCAGACCTTTCACATTCACAAACAGCTATATTATACACTGCATGAAAGGTAAAATCAGAAAAAGCATTATGGGGCACTTCAGTGAAGTCAGTTTCATAAGTTTGTCCTGATAAGCTGCATATACAAGTACATGCATGAGTTTGATTGTAGAAACAGGTATGAAATACTGAACTCACATCAACTTCTCCTTGATCAATCACATAGAAGTTGTCTCCTTCATCACCTGAGAAAGAAATTAGAAAATCGTGAGTTTATTCCAATCAACCAACCTCAGGAGAAGACTACAGATACATAACCCTTTTTCCCTCCTGTTTTTTTTTTTTTTTGCTCAGTAGTGAAAATACTCTACCATTCAAAAGTTTGGGGTCGGTAAGATTTTTCAATGTTTTTGAAAGAAGTCTCTTATGCTCACTATTTTAAATCCATTTATATATGAGCTAAAAGTTAATTCTGCAACCTTTTAAGAGTCCCCACAGATAACAAAAATGGACTAAAACCCACAAAACTCCCATTTTAATTTCATGGGACCTTTAAATTCAGGATGGAAAGGAGGAAAAGATAAATAATTCTGTCTCTTTCCCAGATTCCATCCCTTTCCAACTCCCAATTTCCCAAGAACACATCAGTGCATATCAAAGATAAAAGATGGCAAACCACTTTAAAAACGTCACCACCTCCCAGGACAGTGTCATCTAAATGATTCCCAGGCTTCATCTTCTACACCCCATTTGAGAGTTTAATGGACGGTTGGGCGTGCCAGAAGCCACAGGCTCTGATCAACATTTCCAACTTAAAGGCCATACATAAAGCATTTCTGTAGGTTCAGAAGGTCTTTGAGGTTTAAGTGTGTGTTGAAGTTGGTGTTTGGGATCCTGGTAGCAAGTGTGTGTGTGTGTGTGTGTGTGTGTTTGTGTGAGCCGAAGAGTTAAAAGAGTCCGTGATCCGTGCGCTGCCGAGTTCATGCAGGTTCAGAGGGCTAATTAACACCGAACACACTAAGCGCTCGTAAATCACACAAGCAATTTATCTTAACACACTCACCAAACGCTAGTGCCCTCTCCCTCTCTTACTTGCCGTCTCTCTCTCTTTCAACCCATTCAGCTCATTTTTCTTAGTATTGTTCCTGTCTTCCTGTCTTTTATCACCTCTGCTCTGAAGTTTCTGTTTTTTGGCCAACAGATCCTTGAGTCACAGAGTGCAGTCAAATATTTGACAAGAACAAAAACACACACATGCACACTTCTACACACACACACACACACAAACTTTGTACATTCCTAGATCTACTTTTATGGGCAATCTGTCCATGTTAGATAAATGCTTTGAAACTCTGTTTCAAGAATTGCATTGCACAGAGAGTGCAATCTCAATTGCTTTATGAACTCCACATGAAACCAAAAAGAGCTCATTGTTTGACTATATAAAAAAAAAAACTCATCACCCACCGTTCCTTCTAACTAAAACAATCTGCAATGCATTTGCACTTTTGATAATGATTTCCTTCGGTTTGCACTCTTGTATTTTGCATTTTGCACTGTATATGCACTGCAAGTACATAAAAGTAATGTAACATTAAATAGAATTGAAAACATAGGTACACAAGTACATGACCACAGACAACTTTAGCTACGCAAGCTCTTTATGTTGTGTGTTTGGTTCCAAAATACTACAATATTAATACAATAGGAGTGAAACATAATAGGACCATTTAGATCGTAGTAAAATTATTCCCCAGATGTTATCATTACCTAACCGTAACCATAAATTGTCCTCCATTTAGATGATAAAAAATTGAAAAGTGTTTAGCTTAGCTTTATTTATTTATTAGCTTTAATTCCTTTGAAGGCCTGCCAATGTCCAACACAATATTTAAAATCCAACCAATATAAGGTAAACTATTTTCTCCAGTATTTCAGCTGTAATTATGGCAAAGTTGCTTGTTTTCCACAGTTTTTATTAATGGAAACTCTGAGTGTTGATATATTAATTGACAATTCATTTTGGATGTTTTCTGTGTGTGTGCGTGTGTGTGTGTACAGGTTTGACTATGAGCTCCAAAATGTCCTCACTATTCAAAAATGTGAAACATAGTGACCCTGACATCACTAGTTAAAAAGTCTTTTTTTGCACAGGTTTTGTATAGGTTTTTATGAGGGTTATGTTTAGGGCTAGGGTTCCAGTTAGGGGATAGAAAATAACCTGATATAAAAACAATAGAAGTCCTCATTGATGTCCTTACTATTATAGTGTGTGATAAACTACAGGTGTTTCTATACTGTACCTTGCTGGATTACCGTTTCCCCTGCGATGTGAGTGACCGGGAACATGGCATCAAATATGTCACTGGGGGGGGGGGGGGAAAGAGATACATTAGATTATTCTATCATTCAACCATTGGTAATTCAAAAACACAAATACAATACTCTGAATTTAGTTCAATAGTAATATCAGTGTTATCTTTACAGCAGGAATACCAAGTGTCAAGTGCATGTGTAGTCACAGAGATCAAACGCAGCACGGCCATGTCAACGCTACTGTATCACACACTTCTTTTCGCCATCTCCACAGAAACACATGTTTTATAAAACTGTACAAAAGACAACAAACAGTAATTGCTTAATCTGTGCTCTTCCCGAGGCACACACCCTCGAATAAGAAACAACCGTGCCTGTGTGAAGGCAAAGAGTGTCATTAGTGTTACAAGTTTATGACCCTGATAATGCACTTCCATTCTTTGTCTTTTTTTCGGCAGCTTCTGGTGTGTCAGTCACTACACATGACCCCTGACTCTGTTCCCACAATACACCTCTCCCGTTACTGCTGACGGCTGGAAGCTGTGTTTATTGGCTTGTGATGCTGTTGTGTTGTCAATGCCTCTGTCGTTGTGTTTATGCCATGTTTACATGCTGAGTAAATATACTTGACATCTCCTCAACAAGCCGATGACTTGAGGAATCGTTCATGTCTGAAACTCAAAAAGTGTGGGATGAGTTACTAACAAGTGTTGGTTTAGTATTATTTATAAACTATGATAGTATTCATTAATAATCTGAATTATAAATTTTTTTAATTGACATTTTTTATAATTTTGTTGTGCTTAGTCACTTTTATTAGTTCGGTTATATTTTGCAGCTTGTTTAATTCTGAACTATTAATAGCTAAACTTTTATTTCAGTTTTAGTAATTAAGTACTTCTATACTTCTATGATATACCTCAAATTAAGTAATTTAACACTTTAAGCTTTTTTAAGAAAGTTTTTCCATCTAGTATTTATACTTTATTTTATTTCAAATATGATCTTTAATAGTTGTAGATTTAATTTTAGTTGAACAATGACAACACTTTGAGTTACATGCCAACAAACTGAACAAACCCCAAACCCATATATTATTACCAATAATTGCATTAGCAAACACCACTAATAATGCAACTAAGGCAGGGCCTAAAATTAACACTCGCCAAGCGCCAAATGAGAGTAAAAATCGGTGTTGGCGAGTATATGAAACCTTGTCAATTGCCAATTGGCCGGTAACATTTGTATGAATTCTAACAATGCAATATTGTGAGAACATGAACGTGAACAAACGAGAACGATGCTCGGGACAGTTGATGGGCCAGTGCTGAATATTCATGAAAGTTTAAGCCTTGCCAATCAAGCACAAGCAGATGCAAAAGAGAACTAAAAAATTGTTACTCGCTGTTTTCTGTGCGCAAACATCCGAAAAGCGCGGACAGAAATCCACTCACTGCTCTACACTGAACAACTCTTTTAACATTAAGGATTAATCTATGTTTTATGGCTGGTAAATAATATTTATGGCCGGTAAAGTCACAGGCCATTGGCAGGTGAGGCAAAAAGTTAGTTTTAGACTCTAGAACTAAGGCACACAAAACATGTAGGAACATCAAGCGGTTGTTAAAATAAGCTCCTTTGAGTTCATACTTGTGAATATAAAAGTAATTGCATGCATTGTACTTCAGACGAAACAGTAATGCAATGATTAGAGGCGTTGAAGCTCATATTCCAGTCTTGAGAGCAAATAATGGAGCATCTGGTAGGTGGTCTTCAGTCACAAGCACTTGGTTTTAGAAGTTTACTGAGTGTAAAGGATGTTTATTTAAAACGTTCCACCACGAGAGCTCTCATCAGTTGTCTGGCTGAGGGGATTCCCCGGCACTCAAACCCATTCACAACCCCGCGGCGTTACGAGACTTATGATTTCAGTGGGAGATGATGATGACGGCTCCCTGGAGAACTGAACCGCGGCTTTTTCAGCGAGGTAAAGTGGTTAAAACAGCGTTGTGAGAGGCTATTAAACGAACCAGGATGGTTAAGCTCAAAGTATGATGTCACGGAGTATGATGTCAGATGGAGGAAAGATCAGAGGAGAAGTCTTGAGGTAAAGGGAGGGGAAAGGGACTGAGAAGGTGGCCGGTGATGAGCGGTGGTGAGATTGGTCTTGAATTTGAGAAAGGAGTGGGTGGGAAGTGTTTGAGAAGACTGTGAGGTTGGAGGAGGAAAGAAAGCTCTTGTAGTTCAACTAGTGGCGCTAGCAAACGACAAGGTCATAGGTTCAATTCTCCAGAAACAAACTACTGGTTCAAAAGTTTGGGGTCAACTTCTTTCTTTTGATCCTGAATAAAATGCATCACTTACCACAATATTTGTACATATCCAATATCTGGACATCTGACCCATGTCTAAACATGTGTAGCGATTGGATCATTCTAGTTAGGGAGGGAGACTGACGTAAACACAGACATCGAATACGAGTCATGTCTTGTGAAAGTAAACAGGAGGGACCAAAAAAAATTAATAAAGGTCAAAAGATTGGATCTATGCATAAAACCTCCACAGTCTTGGAGATAAGCAAGCACATATTTAATAACCAATGCTTATTTCCAAGCCATAAGTTGAGGGAAAATTCTGTTCAACCAACTGTTGAAATGCACACACAGGATTGTGGGATATCATAGACAGAATCCTTGTGTTCCCACAAGGTTATTTTAACCAGAAAGAGCACCAGGGTCAAAAAAGACCATGCTGGATGACTATATTTACAGCTGGGTCCACCGGATATACTGGCACTAATGTACAAAAACCAGTCTGGACCAACATAAGCTGGTGTTTTGAGCAGGGGAAGGAATTAAAAACTAGAGAGGTAGACAGCAACATGAAAGGGAACAGGGGTTTCGTCTGAACCTGTCTACAAACGTGCGGGAGGAGGAAAAGTTACTGAGTGAAAACACAAGTTTTGAGGGGTTTAGAAAGAGATTAGAGGGGAGAGTGGGATACATCGAAGAACACGAGATGTGTCAATGTGGATGTTGAAGACACCATGTATAATGTAGTAGAGCGTAGACTTGTGGGAAAAGCCTGAGTGAGTAAAGTATTCAAAGTTCACATCCAAAAACCACAAACTGATAGAGTAAAGTGACGTTCACTGCTGTCAATGAATCAGCAGCTCATCAGCTGCTGGGTGTGAGAGAAGACGTTTTGTTTGATGCAGAAAAATACACTAGCATTCAAAAGTTTTTTTTTTTTTTTTTTTATAGTTTGAGACTTTAATTAATGCATTGAATTGATAAAAAATTACAGTAAAAGACATTTATAATGCTATTTCTATTTCAAGGAAACGCTGTGCTTTTGAACTTTCTAATAAATAAATAAAAAAAACATCACGGTTTACACAAAAATATTAAGCAGTACAACAGTTTTTAAGATTAATGGTCATAAGAAATGTCCCTTGAAATGTTTCCGACCCCAAACTTTTGAATGGTAGTGTAGCTCTAGCGATGTTTTGGGGTGAAATACAAGACAGTCCAAGAATTTGGTCTAATTTACAGCTTATTCTGGTCAATAATCGCTTTAGACAGGAAGAGACTGACCGAAGCTACCAATCACAGTTTGAGTTGCTTTTACATGCCACTTAGGGCCAATTATATTTTGTTAAAGATACATCACATGAAGGAAGACATGAGATGACATTGAGCGTCTGCACAGCGGTCTGACTGTTTTCATGTGCATACGCGTGACCACAAAATCTAATGAGGCTCCTAAATCATCACCCCTTCTTTTCTTCTTTAATTGATTCTCACACTTTCAAAGGGGAAAGTGTTAAAAGGACCAACATTAGGTCTCCTTTATTTGTCCACACAAGCCTGAGCCTGCCTTATCCTCGTAAATGTCCAGAGAAAAACAGCTGAATGCAAAGGAACAAACTCTTTAACAGATGATATCAATATTAAAATGTCCACTTAGCTTTAAGGCAGCTGAGGTAAAGGATGTTTTGGAGGCCACTGAGAAAACTTTTTTTTTTTGCGAACTCTCGCTTCAACACTCGAATGACGTAATTTTTACTTAATCATCAGTGAAGTCACATCAGAGGAAAATGAATGTCTGGTTTAGAGCATCTGATTGTGACACTTAAACCCAGAACGTCTGCATGTCCTCTGGGTGTTTATGTTTCATGTGCAAGTTGAAGCTGCTACACACTCAGTGATAGTTCACCCAAGAATGAAAATTATGTCATCAATTACTCACCATCATATGGAAGCTTGTTTTCTTGCAGCTGTCGTAATCCTGACTTTATTTCTCAGAATTATTGCGAAATATAAAGTCGCAATTGCATGTTATAATGTCGGAATTGCGAGATATACGTACAATTGCGAGAAGTAAACTTGCAGTTCTGACTTTATAACACACAATTGCGGCTTTTTATCATGCAATTATGATATAAAGAGTTGGAAACTCGCAATTGTGAGAAAGAAAGTCAGAATTGTGAGATAAAAAGTCGCAATTACCTTTTTTTTTTTATTCTGTGGCGGAAACAAGCTTCCATACCATCATGTCGTTACAAACCCATAAAACTTTCGTTCACCTTCAGAGCACAAATTAAGATATTTTTTATGAAATCTGAGAGATTTCTATCCCTCCATTTAAAGTTTAAAGCTGCTGTCCGTAGCTTTTTTTGGGTTAAAAATTATCCAAAATACATATTTGATAAAATACATAACCAGCCAGTGTTCAAAACTATCTGCTTGCCTTAGCTCGATGCAAAACGGTAAGCTTGTAATAATGTTTTTAATTTTAGTGGTACTGGTGGATTTCCGCGGGAGATTCGAGCATGTCTTTGCGTCATTACGTCACATCTGTACACATAAAGAAGAGTCTCGGCTAGTATAAGCTATATTGCGTGTGAGGATGTTGGAGGTAGAGATTTATAGCCTTTTCTCACAGCACATGATATAATTAAACTTATCAATTTGATGGCGGATCCAGAAAGGTTCAAACGACGATCATCATCAGTGACAACAGATTTACCCGCTGTAAAATGCAAAA